CTTCTCGATCCTGCAGCCCCACACCCCACAGTGCCATGCCTCCCCCGTCCAACCCCAGAAATGGGGCAGCAGGACCCTCACTATAGGTTGCTGTGCATGGAGAGAGGGGGTCCTTATACAGCTGGCCCATCCCAAAGTAGGTGCTCGGGCTCTGGGCTAAGCTAGAGACGCCCAGGTGCTGCCTGCAGGAGGCCGGAGGCCGGACCCGGAGAGAAGGGAGGCCGCAGGGCCTCTCAGCGGGACACCTGGGTAAACCACTTCCAGCCAACATCGAGGATCCCACCTGTCTCTAGCTTAGTTAGGGAGAGGCCCGCAAGACCAGTGTGTCAAGGCACCCTCAGGAGGACAGCAGGAAGAAGTGAGGATGGGAACGGGGCTCGGACCTTCGTGGCTCTTTTCCTAGAATTCCTCCTGACCCCTGAGACGTCCCTGTCAGTTTCCCCAAAGTTCCAGCCCTTTCCTGTCCCAGCATCAGTCACAACCATGAGAATGGAACTGGACTCTGATCCTGGAAGGGCAGAGGACAGAGGGCAGGAGAGGGAAGGGCCTGGTGTCAGCATTGGCTGCAGGGTCCCCAGGTGTAGGGCAATGCCAGATGTGTCCCGAAAGGCAGGTCATATGCCCACCTCCCAGGTGAGGAAACTGGCTAAGGCAGGTGGGAGACCAGGCCGCACAGTTTGTGGGGGGCTGAACAGGGAGCCCACCTATGTGAGGGCCTGGGCTGGCCTGGGCAGAGGGAGGGGCAGTGTTGTGATCCTGGTGAGGTGCTCCCTGACCAAGCCTCAGTCGAACCCTGAGGGTCCAGGGAAAGGGGAACCTCCCCCAAGTCACAGTGAGGCAGAGGGGCAAGCAGGGGTCCCTGGGGCCTGGATGTGGAGCTGCGAGGGAGTCCCAGCTCCTCCAAGGGCCTCAGGCTGTCTGGCTGTCTCTCCTGCTCCCTCCTGCCTCCCTCCGCTCCCCACTGCACGCAGCCTCTGTTCCTCTCCTTTCTCCAGGCCCCTTTCTATCCATCTCTCTTTCCTCTCCACTCTGCTTCTCTCCCTCTCTCTCTCCTCTTTAAAAAATAAAATAAAAGATAAAAAAAAATTTCCAAAGGGCCAAAGGGGGTGTGCACTTGCCAGGGAGACAAAAGAGAGGGAAGGTGAGAAAGCCCCACGGGGCCTGATCACGCCACAATCCCTTCTCCACCTCTCCGCCTTCTGGGATTTTGGACACGATGTGTTTTTCAAACCACTGGGTCTGGGGTCCGATCTACATGGTTGGCCATTGGGATCCATCTGTCTTAACCACCATACCAGCAGCTGCCCGCTCTCTTTTCTGTTTCTCTCTTTCCCCCTGACTCAGAGTGTCTCTCTCCTCTCCTCTCCCTCTCTTTTCTGTTTCTCTCTTTCCCCCTCTCTCCCTGACTCAGAGTGTCTCTCTCCTCTCCTCTCTTTTGGCCTCTCACCACCCTTCCTGCCACTCTTCTTCCTTCCTTCTTCCTCTGCATGTCTCTGTGTCCCTCCATCTCTCTCCCCATGTCCCATCTCAGCTGTCCCTGCCGGCCATGCTCCCCTCTGCTCTTCCCTGGTGCCTCCCAGGTCACACATATGTCCCACTCTGTCCTAGTAGGGCCAGTTGTGGGCAGGGAGGTCTTTCAGCCCTTCCTGCCTCCCCTCTGCTCCGTGTCCACTGGCGAGGGGTGCGTCTTTGCTAAGTTCCTCGTTTCGGCTCCCAGAGCAGGAAATCTGAGGCTCATGGTCACAGGCACTAGCCCGTGCGCCAGGGTCTTCTCCGCCCAGCGCGGTGGACCAAGCATAGCACAGCCCGGAACGAGTCCCCTCCCGCTTTTGCAGCCCACTGGGGGCCACGGCCCACGGCCCACAACGGCGTCACCTAATTCGGACATAAAAGTCCACGATTTCCTCTGCGTGTGGGCAAACACTGGCTGGCTGCTAATGCAACCCTTTCTTTTAGTGGGTTCTTGAATTGAAATGCTATGTAATTAAACATAATTAACCATATTCGCCATTCAGATAGGTACTGTGCGGAGGAGTGGGGCTGCCCGGTGTCTCCTTACAAAGCACCTCTTATGGGGGAATTCTGGTTTTCTCTCAAGGTTCATTTCATTTGGACGGTAAACTGGCCTGAGGGCACTGGGTGAAGAGGTCTGAGGAGGGGATCCAGGGGCCAGCCGCCCCAAGGACATGGATGAACAGGGGAGCCATGTTTGCTGGGAGACTTCTCCACATCGAGCAACCTCACTAACTGGTGTAACAAGGAGAAAGTCGGACATCACACGGGAACCGGCAGGGGTCCGGGCGGGGCATCAGACCTGAAGCCTGGCTGCTCATCCTGCTGCCCTCGACAACTGCTTCATAAGGGGGCCTGGGGCACCCATGCGTGTTGGCAAGCAGGGCTCCAGAGATGCCGTTCGGCCTCATGGGAGCAGAGGGAAGCCCAAGTGCACATCAAGGCAACTTGGCCCCACCTACACAGGCCAAGCAGACGTGAGAGCGGGGGCTGTAGGCACCCTCCGCTGCACCATCTGGGGGTGCGGACCTGCTGGGGCTCTAGGGTGATCCGAGCCTTCCTGACCACCCCAAGTGCTGTGGTAGGTGTGCTCCCTCTCGTCCAGGCCTCCCTGCACCTCACATGCCCACATCTGCCTGCCTGTCCCCACCAGTCTGTGCCACAGAAGGCTCGAGGTCTTGTCACTGTCCCATCTCTGGCCAGCCCTAGCTGTGGCCCACAGTATGCAGCAGTGCAGAGTGGCTGAGCTCTCAGTGACAGCTGCAACAGCAAGGAGCCCCCATGCCAGCCTGTCCTTCCAGCCTCCAATGTCTCTGTCAGTTCACACCCTGCTCCTGGGACCTGGGGCGTGAACTGTTATCACCTTAGAGACAGGGAGGCACGGAGGCTGCAGGGGCTTGCCCAAGGTCACAGATGGTGAGGTGGAGCCATGGTTATCATCCCAGCACAGGTTTGCCCAGGGCTGGCTTACCGCCTCTGCCTATCTCAGAGGGCCCTCCTAGCCACCTGCTGACCCACCCTGCTGTGCCATGGTCTGTTTTACTCTGAACAGGCACACGTAGGCAGCATCATGGGCACTTGGTACCTGCTGCCTCACTCTGCCCTGTGGCCACAGGGTCTACACTGCCTGGAGCTGGTGTAGTTGGCAGGGTCCACTTAACAGCACTTCCAGGGAGCCCAGGCTGACCCCGCCCAGCCCAGAGCTGCCCACTTCTCCCAAGCACAGGATGCTTGAGCAGGGAGCGCTAGGTTTCCAGAAAGGCCTGCCCATAGGAAGAACTGTCCCAACACCGAGGACAGCAGATTGGCCCGAGCAGGGGTCTGAACCTTTTTCTGCAGGGCCCCAAAGAGGAACTACTTTAAGCGTGGTAGGTTACACATAGCCTCTGTCACATGTTCTTTCCTGCTCACAACCCTTTAAGCACATAAACATAGGCTGCAGCAGGAGTCAGCCCGGGGGCTGTGGCTGGCCAGGCCCTGGGCTACACAAGAGCCAGTGATGGTAACAGATCCGCTGTGCTTATGATGGCTTTTCTGAGATCCGGAAGCCGTGATACAACAAAGGGCATGGAGCATGGCCAGCGTGATACGCCGTGCCTGTGTCCACCAGTTACCACTCCTGGCAGGAGTCCAGACCACTGGACTGAAAGCCCTTCAAAAGAAAGCGTCCTTGCTCAGGGCTGGCAGCTGCCATGTTAGTTAAGGGCGCTGGACTCCCACATGGCTGATCGTAGTTCGAGTCCCGGACCTGTCATCTTGCCTTCTCACTTTGTCTCTCTCTCTCTCTGGCTCTGTCACTTTTCTGGTCAAATAAAAATAAATAAATGAATAAATAAATTTAAATAAAATAATTATTTAATAATAATAATAATAAAGAGTCCTTGTTCATGACAGTCAATTTAGGGTAAATTCCTTTGCAGAAACCAAACCCTTGCATGGGACCACATGACTTTTAGATGCTGTTGGAACCAACTTCAACCACTTCCTCCCAGACCAGGGTGGGAGCTTCCGAGGTGGTAGTGCTGGTTGCCCGAGGGTGCGGTTTTCGTGCTTTCCCAGAGAGCTCAGGGCAAGCTTTGGGGTGATCCAGGCAGCGGTGGGTGTGCAGACGGGTGGGCTCCTACCTCCTGCAACCTCCAGCTGGGCCTCTCCGGGTCCCATGGGGGACCAGCCCATGCGCATTAGGGAGGGACTTCTGGTGGCCAGGACCGGACTCCAGCTAAGACCCTTCTTGGCCCCTGCAGTTAGTTCCTACCTCCTCATGTCTGTCAAGGCTCGTGGTATCCCCACTAGCCAACCCCAACCACCTTCGTGAGTCTACCTGGAGCCCTTGTCCAACTTCAGGACTCGGCCCACAGTCCCTTGTCCACAAACTCCCAGGCAGAACCACATAGGTGGCTGCGCTGTCTTGTGATCTCATTCTCAGCACCCCGTGGGCCTCAGGAGATACCTGGTGAAGGGATGAAGGCCTGGGAGGACCAGCACCCAGGGCTGCAGCCAGACAGTGGCTTTGCGAGGAGCCTGGTGCCACCACCTGTTGAGTGGGAGTTGCCTTGGAGGGCACGGGCCAGATGGCATCTGGCTTTCGTGGACACCCTGGGCCCATTTGAACAGGCAGGAACTCTGGGTCCCCTTCCCTGGCCTTTCCTACTATACATATGTCCACAGCTCTTGCCCCTGAACCCCGCCAGGACAGTCCAGAGGTATGAAGTGAGTCCCAAAGAGCTCAGAGCAGGAGGTGCCCATGGCCCAATCTTATGGGGAAAATGATTCTGCTGGAGACAGGTTTGGAGAGGGACGGGAAGGCATGTGCCTGGGGAGTGTGGTGGGTGGCGCAGAGGACATGCAGGATAGACTGTCGGAGCAGACACAGGGTGTCCTCAGGGTAAGGTCGGACCGGTGCTATATGGGGGGCTTCACTGCAGCCACCGGTGTGGCTTCACAGGGGTCAGCGTGGATCACTGACTAACCTGTGCTCTGCTCTCCAGGCCTGGTGATGAGCACCATCCCGATGTGAAGGCTGACGGGTACGTGGACAACCTCGCGGAGGCTGTGGACCTGCTGCTGCAGCACGCAGACAAGTGATGAGACTTCGGGAGGGCCCCACCTCCTCCTACCCAATCCAGTACCTGGACCGCCCGAGGCCCTGATAGCCCGGCCTTCTGCCCTGCGAGGCAGTCTGGGCTGCCCTGTCCCCAGACCTGAGCCAGCCAGCCTCTTCCTCTATCCCCTTTTCCACCCCCTCCCCAGTCATACTCCTGGACAGAGACTTGTTCCCTCCCTGGGTGACCTGCTTTCCTGTCTGGATCCTGGCCATAGAACCAAGAAGTGCAGTCCAGGAGGGTGGGACAGATCTGTCAGGCCGCATGAGAAATGCAAGCCCTCTGGGCACGGGCTGGAAGGTGCCTGAATTTGCCCACTCACCATTTGCTCCTGGTCCTTTAAATGCGGATGGTACCACCTAGCTGAGAGGCCTTTCTGGGACCTACTGTCGCCGATTGTGCAGCCCAGGGCCCAGCAGTCTCTCTGGGACTGCCCAGCTATCCCCGTTGCCACCCCGCACCACCCGTCCTCGCCCCTAGTGTCAGAGTGGCCCATCAGCACACTGCCACCCCACCCCCAAACAAGAATAGCCCAGCCGGTCCAGGTGACTTTTCCTGTCCCCACAAGCGCGGGGCAGCTCCCAGGGGGCACTTCAAAAACTATCACCCTAGAGAATAAGGACTGACCCTCTGCAGTCAAGCTCGCAGGCACAGAGGGTCCTTTCTGGAGCTGCTATGTGGACTTGAGTGTGTCATGTCCGACCTGTATAGGAGGAAATGGAAGGTTCGATAAACTGCCTTAAACAGCAGGCTTTGACTCAGGCTTTTTTCTCCTTTTTTTTCCCTCTAGTTGCCAGAGAGCAGGAGGAAGAAAGCACCTCCCAATGGTGCATGGGAGGTGTTTTCTTCCACCAAACTCCTCCACCTCCGTCCTGTCAGGATTTGGGGCACAGGCAGTGTGTTTTCAAGCTACCAGGGTCAGGATTCAAACTGTGGTTGGCCATGAAGGATCTGACTCCCTTGACCCCCTAGGCTGGCTACAAAGCCAGCCCTGACTCTAGCTTTGTCAGGAAGGCCACCTGGGGACTGGCTGCGAGCAGGATCTGGAACACTAACCCTGGTTGGACTGTGTGCTCGAGCTGCTGAACGTCGCAAAAACCTCTCTGCTCTGACCTCTTCATTTAACAAATGGAGAAACTGAGGCCTAGGGGGACAGTGAACTGCCATGGGTCCCACTCAGGACGAGGCAGACCAGGGCAAATGTTGGTGCTGCCTAACAGAGCAGCCCCGGGCCTGGTGGCAGTGAAAGCACTTTCCAGACCAAGGGAGCTGTGGTCTTCCCCGCAAGGCCTCTGGGGCCAAATTCACTCATAACCCGTTTCAGCTTTCAGAACCAGTCAGCTGGATGGATAACTTGATTGCTCTGTTTCTCCCCAAATCAATACAGAAGCCACTGATAAACCTTGGGAGACAACTTCTCTGTAATGGCTTTTCATTAAATGAGGCAGGTAAGAGCACTGGGCCCTGAAACCTCAGCCCCCCTGGTGGAGGAAATGCAGCTCCTGGCCTTGCCGGGCAGGCTGGCCACCTTTAATTTGGGATTAGGAGGAACTGGTGGCCCGGTCTTCCCACTGTGATGAGAGGCTGTTGCATTGGTGTCGAGGGTGGACTACAGGCCTCTTAGCTGCAATACGTGCAGGTGGCTTGCTCATTGATGGAGTTCCCTAACTGCAGCTTGTCAGCACAAAGGGGAGGCTCAGGAGTGGGCTGCAGTGGGTTAGCCGTGGTGTGTGTGTGTGTGTGTGTGTGTGTGTGTGGCATGCTTTTGGTGTTTTGTGGGTTTTCCTTTCATTTTCAATGGGCTTCCTTCCTGTGCTCCTTGACAGGAGCCTGCAGCCAGGGCAGTGCTCCCCTAGAGGAAGGAGGCTGGTCTTACATGGTCAAGCTGCTCTGTCAAGTTGCTGCCCAGGAGTGAGGGGATGAGGTCAACTCCTCAGGGTGCAGACATCCACTTTGGGCAGAGAATATGCTGCCCGCTGGGCCACAATGGGCTCAGTGGACATTGGCATTCTTCCCATTCATGAAGAAACAAAATGTGCAGAGAGAAAGTGACCCACCCACGGGCTGACAGTAAGGGGCAGAAGCGAGACTTACACCAAGGTCAGAGACTGTCCCATGCCCTTTCTAGTCCCTTCTGCAATGTGATCCCCCACCTCTGTCTGGAATTCTTTCCTGGGGGTTGGCCTGTGGTGGCCCCAGTGGCTGTGAACTTTCAGGTGAGTCAGCACACTGGCATGTTCTCTAGAGATGAAATATTCTAGGAGTGAGGTCCAGCCCTACCCATGAGGGGAGCCATGCAACCCCTGAGCCCGTTACATCATCTGAAAAATGCGAACATTCATTTCTATAACAGGCAATGATTGAGCCCTGCTAGGGTACCCTGTCCCCAGGCTGGGACAGAGGAACCCCTGCCCTGTTGTTCAACTGTGGCCTGCTGGGCTGTCCTTCCATACCTATGGAAGGCAGATGGGCTCAGGTCCTTAGACCAGAGAAGGTCTAGAGCCATCAGCCACATGTAGGACTGGAGTTTAGGGCTGGCAGTGGCTAAGGGCCTATGTTCAGGACATACACCAAGGAGCTACTGCTAAGAAACAGGCCCTCAAAACCCAGGCAACAGGCCAGGTTGGCTTCCAGACTTTTGCACAGACTTGAAGTGAGGCAGCAGCTTAGGGCTTAGCCACACTTCTCAGCAGAGTGGTGCTCAGGAGGAACAGGTGTGTTTGGGGATGAGAAGCCGAGCAGGCAGAACTTTTTTTTTTTTTTTTTTTGAGAGATTTTCACTGTAGGGCGCGTGCCCTCGCCAGACAGACAGAGAGAGACATAGAGACAGAAAGCAAGAAATCACCCCCCAGGGGGGATGGTCACGCCGCAATCCCTTCTCCTCCATTCTCCTCTCGGGATCTTGGGCACGCACGCACACGCGCCCGGCGTGAGTTTTAAGCCACCGGGTCCGGGACGTGAACCGCGGTCGACTACGTGGGAGTCCAGCAACATAGCCATTACGCTAACTGCTGGTTCCCAGAACTCTTTAGGGGCCTCGCCCATCCATACTTAGCCCTGGGCTGAATGTGCCAGCTTAAGAAACCCAATTCAAGTTGGGTTAATCCAGCTGGACATTTTACTATCTCACGTGACTACAAGTCCAGACCTGGCTGGACCTGGGGTCCCCGGTATTATCACGGGGACCCCTTCTCTCCCAATCCTAGCCACTCTGCAGACAGCAAGCAAATGGTTCCACCACCTCAGAGTCTGCAGGAAAGGCCCAGGAGGACTCAGTTTGGCAGGGAACAAGCTAGCCTTGAGCAGGGCTGCAATGCTGATCCCACCAAATTCCCAGAGAGGGGTAGGGTTGGGGACAGTGGACACCCACACCCTCATCTCACAGACAGGAGGCAGAGTCCTTAGCACCAAGTGTGTGTACCCCTGGGCCCAGGTAACTAGTTCCTCTCTCCTCCAATTCAGGCTGAAGGCAGGTCCCTCCAAAGGCTCAGAAAGGCTAAGCGCTGACCTGGTGGCACTGAGGTCTTGGGTCCTTCCCCTGGGCAGTCCCTGCCCCTCTTGGAGAAGCTGGTGAGCAGCTGACAGATGGAAAAGCTTCTGCATCTTCATCTTATGCAGAGATGGGGCCCCAGGGAGGGACTGACACGAGACACGCCTACAGGGTACTCATGGATCCATCTCCCATCCCAGTGTAATTATCAACAGTTTGAGCTTCCTCTTAGAAGTGTCCTGGTTTACCGGACCAGCAGTTGGCATAGTGGCTATGTCACTGGACTCCCATGTAGCTGACTGCAGTTCGAGTCCCAGGCCAGGTGGCTTAAACTCATGCAGGTACATGTGAGTGCGTGCCCAGGATCCTGAGAGGAGAATGGAGAAGAAAGGATTGTGATGTGGCCATCCCCCCTGGGGGGGTGATTTCTCACTTTCTGTCCCTCTTTCTGGCAAGTGCATGCGCCCTATAGCAAAAACCTCTGGGCGGGGGGTTGGGGGGATGAAGTGTCCTGGTTTAGAGGATCTGCTGGGCAGTTTGCATTATCTGTTTCTTTAAGTTTTAATTTTCTTAGATTATAAAAGTAGTATATATTATTGTAGGAAATTTAACAAGAAAGTATTTTAAAAACCCATTCGTTACTCAGTTTGACTACAGTTGCTCTCTGGGAAGGTTCCCTCTTGGTCTTCCTTCTAGGCACTTCGAGGCACATCTGGACTGTGTGGCTTGTGTGGCTTGACCTCGAATCGCTCATATGTGCCTTCCACAGACCAGAAGGCTGTCCAGTGTCCCACAGATGAAGCCTCATGTCAGATGCGCCTGTGAGCTGGCCTGGCTTGGGGGCTGAAGAGGGGGTGAGGCTGATGTGCTCACACAAAAAGACCATGATCTGTGAAAAGCACAGACTTAGAAATTACAGAGGGAGGGCCACCCCTGTGCTGCCCCGGGGGCCCTGGCTCCTAGCCAGAGTGAGAGGCTGGGCTCCTCTACCTACGAACGCATGCACACTGCCCCTGGGCATGGGGCTGCCTGGACAGCCTGCCTCTAGAAGGGCCCCCAGGACCGCAGCCATGGCCCGGGCCTTCCCCTACAGTTGTTCACACAGCCGTCCTGTGTCTGAGCCTTGTGGCGTAACTGTGAGATGTCACCTCCCTCCCCTAAATGGATCCTGACCCTGAGGCTTGGGAGGACAGAAGGATCCAGTCTGTGCCCCCCAGACCAGAGCAAATGCTCCTAGGGGCAGGGCTGGGCCTGCCGGTTTGCTGCACCCAACAGAAACCACATAGCCAGCTCCAGGCAGCTGGATACTGAACCAGGAAGCTTTATTTACACAGTAAAAGTAACAAGCAAATTCCTGAGAGACTAGAGTGGCTCTAGTGCAAGACAGTCACGGCCTGCCCTGAGAGGACGGGCTGCGGTGGGTGGCGTTGGGGGGACACAGACCTGCACCCTCTGTGCACAGAGCACTTGGCCCTGGGCAGGGGCCTGGCCCAACACTGGGCTCTCTGGTCACCACTTGCTGAAGCTCTGCAACGCCAACGCCATCTAGTTTGGGAAAGCACGCTACAGCCTGAGGGACAGTCTACATGCTGTCTCCCAGGACATCTCCCCGTGCTGAAAATTCATCTGCCAGATACTGCTAGGTCAGACTATCCTATCTAGGCTCTAAGAGCTCCGCTTCAGCCTGCAATTAAAAACAAAGTTTTTCTTTTTAAAGAGACATGTTTTTCTCTGACTGGCACCAACAGGAGGGGTTTGGCCGATGGCGTGCGTGTGGCAAGGTGCAGCATCACTGCCCAGTTGGACTGGAGCGCCCAGCCCCAGCATGTGGCCGCCTGCTCTGTGCCCGGCGCTACCGTCTGCACAATGCCAAGCCCAAGCCCAAGGCACGGGACCCAGGCGCGTTTTATTTGCTAGAGGCTTGGTCTGGCAGGCAGTGCCCTGACGCCCCCTCACAGCATCTGCCAGCGCATGGAAAACCAGACACGCCCCACCCGCTGCCCCCAGCCTAGAAGACCCGTTTGGAAATTTGGGTTTCTTTTTAATGTGGACTTTTCCTTTATTGAAATTTTTTCAGCATACAAATTCACAAAACTTTCCTGCTACAAAAATTGTTTTGAAAAGTAAGGCTTTCTGAGAATGCAAACCCCTATGTATGGTCAGAACAAGCTCCTGGTGGGCCTAGACAGGGCTGTCCGTGGGTCCTGGGCCAGCTCCAGCCTCCACCGCGAGTAAGGCAAGAGGTTTACGGTAATGTAAACGGTGAGGCTGGGCCCTGACCTCAGGCCCAGGCCCCCACAGGCAGACGGCAGGTCCTGTTTGTTCCAATGGCTTCTGGAGCGAGAGGGAAGGCCATGTGACAGTGGGCACCTCTTCCCCACCGGGCAGTGCTGGCGCCACAGCCCACCGTTGTCCTCCCAGGGCCCTCTCAGTAGATGGTCTGCACAGCTGGCCTCCCGGCCCTGCACTTCTCAATCTCCCCACAGAGGCAGAATTCATAGGCAGTGCCCCGACAAAAGTGAGGCTCCTGCCCTGCCATATGGGCTGCACTGGGTGACATGAGCTTAACTGCCACGGCCCCGTGGCAATAAGCACGCGGGGGTCAGAAGGAGCCTCCTGGGTGGATTTCGCTCCAGGGGCTCTAAGAACAAAGCCTGGGGGCCAGTGGAGTGGGGCATGGAAACAGGCCTCCCTGGGTGGTGTGGCAGCTCAGGAAACATGATGGCACCTTCCAGATGGAGCCTCTCTCTCTCTTATGAAAAGAAAATCATGAAACCAAATGAAGACCATTTCTTTCTCTAAGTGTTAGGGACACTACCATTTTCTCCCCTAACTGCTGCTTTTGTGGGCTTGGGCTAGGAGCTTTGCTGGGAGTGGGAACGGGCAAGAGGGTCCTGAGGAGGCAGAAAGGACCCATCCCTATCTTGGGCCTGGATCACTTCTGCCCGTAAGTGCTCTGAGCTGGGCATGCTGGTCAATGAGATCTGCTTGGGGAGAGGTAAGGAGGATGAGGGTGTGATTCTGCTCCACTGCTTGTCTTTTCCCATCACCGGGCCTGAGCAGAAGGGTAGGTGGCAGGCTGGACACACCTGCCCCCATGTGCCTCCCTTCCTGGGGCTGCTTCAGGACTTGACCACGGCTGCACTCACTCCCACCCTCACTGTGGCATGGACCAGGAGGTGCCCGACCTCCGCCTTCCACAGGAAGGTCTGCTTTAGAGGCTGCGTTGCCTCTGTGGCCGCTCTCAGTGTGGCCCCTCTTGGTGCCAGGGCCGCCCATCTCAGCTTCTGAGGACACGAGCACATGCGCTTTCCACAACTGCCCCAGCCTCCATGACCCACCAGGCAGGGGTCAGGCAAGTGCCCTGTGTAGCCAGGGTCACCAGCTCTCTGGGTTGGCTTCCCGGAGTCCTAAGTGGATGTGCCTCAGGTGGGAACGATAGCAAACTGAGCTGAGCCGATCGATTCCCCACCAGGCACCCGACCTGCTCACCTTCCAGAGGCTATCGACACAATCTCTGAGGGCCACTGGGCCAGAGGCTTCCTGCAAATAAGAGCTTGAGCCATCAGCCTTTTGATGTAGTAAAACGTGTAAGTTTAAGCAAAGTGTCCCAATCGGGGTCCTTCCTTCGGAGAAAGGAGGTGAGAACCATTTGGACTCGGCCTGTCGACGTGGCGTTCCCTCGTCTAGAGGACAAGTGAATGCAAGTGATGGCTACAAAGTGCCTTTATCACATGTCAGCGAGCTCAAGAGCGTACCAGTTATTTTTAGCCTTATGGGAAAAATGAGCCACTTGCTCATAAGCCAGGCCAATTGCTATTGTCTGTGGAAGATGCCAAGTTTGCTAAAAGCTAGATTCCCAGAGAGCAGAGCCCATGTGGTTTTGTGTGCAAGGCAGGATGGAGAGTAAACCCTCAGGCAGTCTCGCTCCTCCTAGACACTGGGGGCTGTAGAGGTGTGTCAGGAGCTGGGGACGGTGCAAGTGCAACTTCAATGGTGGGCCTGTAGCTGAGGCCTGCAGCAGGGAGGCCGCACCGAGGACTGGGCTCCTGTCAACCAACAAGGAGTAGGTTTGTCTTGAGGTGGTTAGTGCACCTTGATTAAAGCCAGCAGTCCCCATGAAAAAATGAGCATGTGCTTGGAAATACTGCAGGAGACTCGGGGCAGCTTGTCTGGAGCCTCTGCAAAGCAGCCGGCAGACATCCTTCACCCCTGAAATGTGCAGAGGGCCTGGACCTGCTGTGGACCTGCTCATAGCTCCTGTCTCCTGAGGACATTTTTAAGAGGTTGCCCTTTTACTGTGGCATCTCTACACTCACCCGAATCAACCAAGCTAATCACTCAGGGACTGGTTAGCTACAGAGAAGGGCTGCCATCTGCCAGCTTTGCCAAAGCAACTCCCAAAATTGAGAGCCCTGGGTTCAGCTCTCCATGCCACAGGAGAGGCAAGTGGATGTGTTTTTGGCCAACAAATCCACCAAATTGCTATCCCATGTGAATGGCCTTTAACAAGCGCCCCCATGTTGTTTGTTCCCAGGGGCCCTAGGGTTAGAACACGGCTTTACCCTCGGAGGGCCACTCCAGCACCCCAGGGAGTCTGTCTCCACACCTGGAATTAAGGCCAAATGGTTCCGGTGTTACTACAGAAGGAAGCATCTCCCGAACCTTCCCAAGCCTGAAGCAGGGAGACCTGGGAGAGAAGGCACGGAATAAAACTGAGTGAAAGAAGCTGTGGGGCCGACTCCCCAGCGTGAACCTGAGCGAGGCTGTGAAGGGCTCTGACATGGCCAGATGCACCCTGGCCCCAGCCCTGAGCCCAGGCCCTCCCTGACAGCCCCCATGTGGGGAATGCAGTGTGGTGCCCAGCTCTGCCGGGGAGATGACAGAGACTGCCCAACATCCCACGAGGAAAAAGGCGGAAAAGACCCAAACCAAAAAGCTGCTCTATGGGCTACAGTAGTTCCGTGGACCTGGTGGCCAACATGCGAGTAGCTGGTGCATGGTATGGCCAGCTTTCACGGAGCTGGCACTGCGGGCTGGACAGCCCCTCCTCAGGAGGTGGGGGGCTCCCCTCTAGGACATGATGCCTCTCAGGAAGCTTTTGTCAGGCCCAGGAGTTGGGCTCCCCCTCTCAAGTACCCACCTAGTGCCCAGAGGGAGGCCCATGGATTCTAATGCACCCCACCCCTGCCTGGGGCCTATGGCCCTTCAGTTGTTCTCTATCTGTTCAATGTCCAACTCGCCATCCAGGGAGCAGAGGCTGTTCCCAGCAGCCCCGCGGTCCCGCCAGGCTGTGGCCGGCTCCCCTCTCCTGCCGCAGTCCTCGTCCAGGGCGCAGCCATCCGACTCCTCACAGGATAGGTCCTCCTGGCAGATGAGGCGGTCGTCGAAGGAGGGGGGAAGAGGCTCGGGTACAGGGGTCCCGGCAGGGGTCCTGCCCCCCGGGCCAGAGGCTGACAGCAAGGCGGTCCAGGACCTGGTGCTGCTGATGTGGAGAGCGAAGGGGCCCTGGGGGTCGCAGTCCTCCATGCCCGCGCTGAGGCTGCTGAGGCTGCTGAAGGTCTGACAGTTCTGTGGAGAGGCAGACACGCAGGTTACTCAAGGGTTACATTCCGTCCGAGAACCCAGGATCACGTGCCCCACAGAGCCAGGCCATGATCCGCTGGGCTACGGCAAGACTGCCCAAATCCTGGATGCCTCCGCTATCAGTAAGGACAAGGGGCCGTCAGCAACTCATTCATGAAGAAAGGCCCCTGGCTAATGAGTACGCCGTACTGATAAATAAATGCAAAGTTCAATTATTCACCTAATTAATTAGCAAAGAGCAAAAACCATGAGTGAATACCCAGTTCTAGGGGGCCTGTGGTGAAATAGGTATACTCATAATGCTTCATGTCCGACCTTTCAAAATAACAACGTAGTAAAGATGTATCTGATTCTGTGATCAAGCAGTTTCATTGCTGGAATGTTTGTCCTAAGAAAGCCAGTGGCGTAGCAGTAAACGATGCTCTGTGACGCAGCGGCCACATGAAAGCTCCTGGGCTGTCCTGAGCCGGCATCCTGAGAGCCCCCTGTACACACTGGGTGCATGCATGTGCCTGTGACCCTGGCGGGCTGAGGCTGGTGTGGAATGCAGTAGGAAAACTGTTGGAGGTGACTCTGTGCGTGTGTATGTGTGTGTGTGTGTGTGTGTGTCTTACAGGACAAATAACAGGCTTGAGAAAGAAAGAAACAAACAAACAAAACAATTGCAAATGTATGCAAAAATACAGGGCAGGCTCTGGGGCTAGTAAGGCAGCCAGATCCCACATGGCCGACCATGCAGCTCAAGTCCCAGACTGAGCAGTTTGAGAAATATGCCAGTTGTGTGCATGCACGTGCATGTGTGTGTGTGTGTGTGTGTGTGTGTGCCCCAAATCCTGAAGCAGGGAGGAAGGACTGCAGTGTGCTCGTTCCCCAAGAGAAGTGCTTTTTCAAGTCCCTCTCTGTCTGTGACACACACATGTACCCTCTAGCAGAAAAACAAACAAAACAGAAATCTCGGCCACATGAATATTCCTAGTCACACTGTTAAGTGGAAAGGAAGAAAGTAACCCAAGTCTAGTACAATGACGCTTAAATAAAATCTCTATTTTTCGGACAAGGGACCTCTATGCAGCCCTTAAACGTGGCAGCAGGGAATTTACTGACACCAGTAACATCCTGGCGAGACGGAAACATCTGCAGGCTGCACTGCTGCACGTGAGGGGCTTCCTGCCCACCCCGCCCACTCCCACAGCCAGGGGAGAGAAAGGGGGCTGTAGCAGAGGTGCTGCATATCACGGCCATCCAGGGGCTGCTTCAGCGAAGCTCCCTGGAGAGAGACTGCATCTTCAGAGGGGAGGGCAGCGAGGGCCATCATCTCCTGGACGAGGAGCCAGGCTCCAGGCTGGTTCTGGTGCTTACGAGCAAGGGGCCTCAGGTAGGCCTCAGCTGCCTCATCTCTGAGAAGTGTGCGATGGTTCCTACCGGTCTTGAAGAGTCCTTTGAAGCCCCAGAGAGAAAGTGAGGCTGCTCAAAAGCTTCCTTACCTAGTGTGGCTGCACAAGAGCTCCCTGCCTGCTGCACACTACCTCTGTGGGCACCAGGAGGCAGCTGGGGGCCTGCACAAGCAGTGGGTGCAGCCTGAACACAGCTTCAAGGGTGCCTGGGCCAGTCCTGTTGGAGGCATTGTCAACGAAAGGGGCCAGGCCTGACACTATACACAGCAGAGCACAGAACAGGCCCCCTCCTCCCTCCAGACAGATGCACAGTCCAGCAGCAGACAGGACAGAGGTTATGATGGTGAGGGGTACCCACAGTCCAGTCTGGAAATCCTCGAGAGGACCAGGAACAATGAGGTCTCTTTGGTGGTGGTGGGGGGAGGAGGGGGGGACAAAGGTGAGGACCTGGAGCACCCGCCACCTCTTGCCAAGGCCACACGACTGCTGATGCCAAAATCATAGACCTGTCCTGAGGGCCCTGATCCTTTCAAAGGCTACAGTGTTTGTGTGTCGCTTTGAAATAAAGATGACCACCAGCTGTCACAGCAAACAAGCTGCTAACAGGCTCAGCAAATGGAAAATCAAAGGCGCTCTCTCTGGATGAAGGTGGCTGTGCGGCTGTGGGCACACCCATTGTTCCTGAATGCTCCACAGAGGAAACGGTTCTGATGGGCTTTTCTTGGAATCTTTTGATTAACCGAGAAAGGTGAATAGCTGAGGTTCTAGGGGGTGCTTAGCACTGGGACGGAGGAGAGAGGGGAGGGCCACCAATTAGGCCTGAGATACTGACCCAAGCTGCAGAGGGAGCCCAGGTCCCTGCAGGTCATCCCACACCAACTGTAGGCCCCTGTCTGGACAGTGGCATTGGTGGGTTTTCACATGCCCTGGTGTGCACAGAACACATTCATTGCTCCACCACGGCAGAGGGCTGCAGGTGGCAACTTCATGCAAAACAGCCCCGAAGATCGACACTCCCAGGTCAGGCTAAAATGAAAAGGACCAGCAATTCCCACATGCAAATCTGATGCCTGCTAAGCAGAGACCTGGATGCCCGTGGTAGAGGATTGAGGCCCCCTTCTGCCTCTCAGCCACTCTCCTGACTGAACTAGACCTGGGCCCGGACAGAAGGGCTGAGTAGGGACCATACGAAAGAGGGAAACTGGCCTACCCCAGGCAGTTGCAGCCTGTATCCCTGGCCTCAGTGGGCCAGGATGCATCAAGGACTCAGGAGCCCAGAGAGCCAGACCTTCCCCCGTAATCCCTGACTGTGCAGCCTGTTTCTCTGCCTGTATGGAAGCTATGGTGAGGAAAAATGTAAATAATAATGTCAGTTGAAGGCCAAGTGTCCTGAATAATGTGCTGTGAATGGATTCAAGGTGGGCAAGGAGGCACTGGTGCTGACAGTCCTTGGGGATCAGCACATCTCCTGGACACGTCATGGTTTCTGAGAATTAGAATGTGAGACTGGGCAAGAAGCTTCGCTGGTGCCAACCTGAACAGAAAAGGTGTGCTCAGCACTTGAGTCTATGCTTGCCTTCTCGTTTCTGCCTGGAGTCTTTCTGCCTGGTGCCACCTGGTAAGTTACAATACCTAAGGTGCAGCCAGTCTGGACACTAACGGTGCTACGGTCTGAACGTGTGCATCTCTCCAGGATTCATATGTTCACACCTAGTCCCCAGTGTGATAGCATTCAAAAGCAGAGCTCTTGGGCAGTGGTTAGGTCAGGAAGGTGGAACCTCATGAAAGGGATTAGTGCTCTTGTAACAGAGGCTTGTGGGAGCTTCTTTGCCCCTTCTGCCATATGAGAATGCAGCAAGAAGGCATCATCTACAAAGAAGAGGCTCTCTCCGAGTCTGCTGGCACCTTGACCTTGGGCTTTCCTCATCATGTGCAATAACAGAAATGTTTTTGTACGTTACCCACTCTAGGGAATTCTTAGCTATAGGAGCCCAAATGGACTAAGACACATATTAAGCACTGGCTTCAGGCAGGAACAGGGTGCCAGGATTCTTGTTTGCTGGAATTTTCTTTCAGAGGTGTGTGGCTTTTGCCTCAAGTGTGCCCCGGAAAGGGCTGAGGTCAGACAGGCTGTTGCAGATGCAGACTCTGCTCACATGGGCACCATGGCTTCAGACAGACTCTCGAACTTCTCGACTTCGACCTGCCTGACAAATAAGGGGTAGCCAAGGGCACACTGGGGCCACCCCCCTCCTCTGGCTGTCTGGAACAATTGGGCTATCTATCTATCTATTTATTTATTTTTCCTTCACAGCAGGGCAAAAAGTTACAAGGCTTAGTTGGTGAATCTTATCACAAGTAAACTACGAGATGCT